TGCCCCATCCCAGTGCCTCCAGTAACCCCCTCCCAGTGCTCCCAGTGCTCCCAGTGCTCCCAGTAACCCCCTCCCAGTGTTCCCAGTAACCCCCTCCCACCGCTCCCAGTGCTCCCAGTGCTCCCAGTAACCCCCTCCCAGCGCTCCCAGCGCTCCCAGTCCTCCCAGTCCGCCCAGTTGCCCCTCCCAGTGCTCCCAGCGCTCCCAGTTTGCCCCCCCAGCGCTCCCAGTTTGCCCCCCCAGCGCTCCCAGTGCCCCCAGTACCTCCCCGGGGGGCTCCCAGTAGCTCCCAGTAACTCCCAGTAGCTCCCAGTACCTCTCAGTGGGCTCCCAGTAGCTCCCAGTAGCTCCCAGTGGCGGCGGACCGAGGGAAGGGGCGTGGCCAGAGGAAGGGGCGTGGTCACACCAGGCCACGCCCCCCGTGCTCATTGCTGGCTCACTATTTGGCAGGAGGGGCTCTACGGGCGGGGCAATGGCTCACTATGTGGCACCCTTCCCAGTATAAACCAGTACAAACCAGTAAGGACGGAACCAGCCCAAAATCCTTCCCGATGGATCCCGGAGTGTCCTGAGCGCCCTCCCAGTATAAACCAGTATAAACCAGTACAAACCAATACTCCCCGATTCATTCCCGCTGGGCGCCGAGCCCCCTCCCAGTATAAACCAGTACAAACCAGTGCGCCAGAAATGCTTCTCGGCCAGTCCCAGAGCATCCCGAACACCCTCCCAGTATAAACCAGTACAAACCAGTATGTGGCAGGAGCTGAACTAGTGGCTCACTATGTGGCAGGGGGGGTCCCTATGGGGGATTCAATGGCTCACTATGTGGCGGGGGGGTCTCTATAGGGACAGTCAATGGCTCACTATGTGGCAGGGGAGGTCCCTACGGGACATTCAATGGCTCACTATTTGGCAGGGAGGTTCCCCGTGGCCTGACCCACTGGATCACTATTTGGCAACGCCTGACTCACTATTTGCCAACCTCGGCTCACTATTTGGCAACTCCCCTCCCCTCCCCCCCTCCCCCACGCTGTGGCTCACTATTTGGCAAGGCCTCGCCCTAGGGCCCGGCCCTTGGATCACTATTTGGCAGCCACGCTTTCCCCGCCCCTCCCCCCCCCCAACCCGGCGAGGGCCG